ACAGTTCAGCCCACACAGTCCTTCAACATATGTATAGAGATATTTCTGAAATACTATACCTCTGTATGGCTGAAAATTCACCATCAAAAAGTTTGAGGAGGAAAGGAAAAAGTGGCCATCAAGCTACTGATTTCAAGAATTACCTAAGGGCTTGATGGGGTTTTGGTTTCTTCTTGGGTTTGGAGAAATTAAAACAAATGACACAAATCTTTTAAATATGTATATCAATTATAGGAAGTATAAAATCCAAATAAATTACATAAACATTTTGGTCTTGCTGTGTTATTAAATTTAGAATGTCTATTATACATTGTTGTCATTGCTATCAGTTGTATAATCAGACTTAGCCTTTTTTTAAATTTCAGAGTGTCTCTTGCAAGTATACATACATACATACATATTTGGAAATATCTAATTTTTACCTAAATTATATATTTGGTTTACAGATTAAGACTTGAAAAGTCCCATCTCAATTATCTTAGGCCTGCTGAACTCTGCATTAAGACTGGACTGCTAGCTAATTATTTGAACATGTTGAATACGCAGTCTGGTTATTTGTTCCATTGATAAATGCAGCTGCCTGAGGTAATAGTGGACTCTGGTCGGAGTGAATGAAGTTCAAACTTAAAGCCTATTATTTTTATTTAACAGTTCAGCCCACACAGTCCTTCAACATATGTATAGGGATATTTCTGAAATACTATACCTCTGTATGGCTGAAAATTCACCATCAAAATTCACCATTAAAATTCACCATCAAAAAGTTTGAGGAGGAAAGGAAAAAGTAGCCATCAAGCTACTGATTTCAAGAATTACCTAAGGGCTTGATGGGGAATGGGGAATGTGGAGAGGCTGCGATGGAACATCTCATGGACTTCCACATTTCACCAGTGAGTGACAGAACACAGTTTGACTGACATAGATAAACAAAATTTAATCCTGAGCTTGAAAGTCAGCAAGAGCTGATAAAATGAACACAACACTAAGTTAAATAAATCTAATTGTTAATACCATCACTGACCAATGGGTGTCACTAATTTTTGGAACATACAACATAACTCAGGTAATTTTTTGTATAGTATCCCATTAAAATTATATGGAAAAGTTGTGTTTATATTTTGATGTTAATTAGAATCGGGTGGCATACAAGTTTAATACATATAATAATAATTATTATTATTAATCAGTAACTGAGAGTTTTAAGGTAATATTTAAATTTGACATTAAGCCAGACAGTAAAATCAGTTAAAAAAACCTTTAAAACATCTATAAATCAAAGCAACCAGCAAAGGCATAAAAATAAAACTATTTAATGGAATATTAAAATATTCTAGAATATTCTATTTAGCAATGGACATAACAAGCAAGAGAATAAAAAGATATTTGCAAGGCAATGAATGATAATAAAATAGACAACAGGTGAACCTTTCTGGGAAAGTATTATGTGGTTGTGTTTGTATAACTGGCTAAGCCAAAATGTGGTTTGCTTGTTTGTGGCTTATCACATGAACTCACTCAGGTGTTTGTTATTCAACAAAGAGGATTAAACAAATCTTGCCTTAGTATGATATGGAAACAGTCTTTTCCTGTTAAAAATATTTTTTAATGCAAAGAAAATAGAAGAGGCTAAGGGAGAAGACTGGATTACAAGCAGATGATCGTGATGATTTAATAATGATATAATTATTCTATTTATATAGTTCTCTTACTCTCAGAGGAACCAGAGTGCTGTAATGATGTCTGGAGAGATGAGAAAGAGAGTCTGGCATCTGGATGGCAATGAATATGCTCCAACAATTATCTGTAACTCCTTTCGAAAATGGGCCATTGTGCTTAGCCAAAATATGTTTATTTGGAGTGTTGTATACACTTACCCGCTGTGATTCTTCTAACTCTGAAGGAACATGGAAAAAAAGCAGAGCAGAAAGGATTCAAAATTTGTTTTGAAATATACTGGGGGTTTTGCAGGACACACTAATAGCCAGCTTTCCCATGATTTACTCAACCACATTTTCTGGGATCACAGAATGCACTAAGTTAACACCTGGTTGGCTTATTTGTGGTTTAGCATATTACACAATGACTCCCATTGCCTGAAGACTTCCTCACTAGTAGTTCAATTTACAAAAAATTCGATCCAAAGTTGCAACATCCAGTCTCATAGCAGTATCACCCTCAATTTCCTCCATATATACAGAATGTGCAGAAATCAATTCTATAAGAATGAGAATAAAAGTTTAAAACTTGCAACATTCAGTCTACAATTCTAAGCATATTTACTAATAGTAAGTTCACACAGAAATGAGCCAATCTGCTCATTCAGAAACAACACTCAAAATATTAAGGAATCTTGATGGAGAAATCACAACTCTGCCTTGCTTGGGTTCAACCTGAGCCTGTTTTTCCCATCCAGGTACTCAAGTCTCCGGACACTGAGTGAAGACATTGACAGCCTCTTCTGCATGGTCTGGGATAGTAGTATATAACTGGGTCTCAGCAGCTGTGATGGATACCTGAGCGGGGAAGATTCTGGAATGAAGCTTCAAGGTTGTCAGGAGTGGGGAGAGACATTCCAGGGGAAGCACCTCCTCAGCCCACAACAAGACTGTGGGAAAACAAAGAGGATGAGGCTGGCTCCTCCCTAGAGCCTCATGGAGTATATTCTCTAGTAGCTGTAGATAAGTTGAGTCTGGCGAGATTGATGTCAGGTTCAGCCCAAGAACTACAATGAGGTCATCCAGTACAGTTCAGATACTTTATTAGCTTGTACCTAATAGACAGAATCTCGCCAGACTAAATTTAGCTACAGCTACTAGAGAATATACTCCATGAGGCTCTAGGGAGGAGCCAGGCTCATCCTCTTCGTTTTCCCACAGTCTTGTTGTGGGCTGAGGAGGTGCTTGCCCTGGAATGTCTCTT